CCCCTAGTACATAGCAGGTTGCTTTCCACATGGGGGAAATGTGCCAACATTTGTCAGTGGTATCGATGGTCTCCTATTAGGTGGGTGGTGTTTGTAGTTGAAGGGGATGGATGTGTCTTTGGCTTCATTCCACTGGTGGGCAGAAGCTTTGTGCCTTTAACTTATGCTCTGGAGACAGGATGTCACTGGTATCTGTCACACTACAGGCAGCTCGAAACTGTTTGGTAAATGATCAAGGAGTTGTTAAAGTATCTGACTTCGGCCTGTCCAGGTAAGTGTGTCTTTTTATCTTTCCCTCTAAAAGTAAAAATAGTATAGTACAAACATGAGAAAGTGTTATAGTTTTTAATCCCCTCCTTTTCTTTTTCTTCTCATTCTAGTTTTTTTCTGCCATCTTTTTTAAATTCCTTTTTCTTCCTCTGAATTAAGCCACTTCTTTCATCCTTTTGGTTTATCATCATATCCCTCATTTTACTTTTTCCCCTTATCTCTGCCCCCTCTTTTATCTTAGCTATTTCCCCAATACCATATCTTGATCTGTTCATTCTGTTGGCTTTACTTGATCCCTCCTTCTTTGTTAATCAGTCTAATTCCCACTGGTAACTGCAGAATATAAGGGAAGGAAGGAGAAGAGCAGAGACAGGAAAAGGAATTAGAGAAGAGGAAGAGAGTACATATTAGATATTTTATCACATCATCCTTCCTATAGCTGTATTATCAATCAAGACATCAGATCAATCAGATGTAAAAACAGAAAGCTTGTTAAAAGTAACATTTGTAAAAGATACTGACTGAGCAGCAGAGACTTTTAAGAAAGCCTGTAAGCATGAATTTGTGCTGCTCTTGTGACTGTGCCAAGAAAACTTAAGCAAATATCAAACTCTCCATCTGAAGAGTAACAAGTACCGAAACCCTTGCAGGTATGTCTTGGATGATGAATACACAAGCTCAGTAGGCTCCAAATTTCCAGTCCGGTGGTCTCCACCAGAAGTTCTTATGTATAGCAAGTTCAGCAGCAAATCTGACATTTGGGCTTTTGGTAAGTAGATAAGATTATATAACTCAAAGGAAGAGAAATGTAATGAGAAAATTCACACTTTGCAACCTGCACAGAGAGACTATTCTTGCTTTCATTCATCTAATCCTTGAGAGTGCTTACTATGTGTCAGGCACCACAGAGGTTTCTGAGGATAAAAAAGGTTAACCGGACATGCCCCCTGCCTTCTTAGAACTTACAATAAATGAAGGGAAACAAACAATTCATTCAGTTTTCAACAGCTTCTGAATACTGATTATGTACTGGGCACTCTGCCAGACCTTATTACTACAAAGACAAGTAGAAAGTTGTCTCTTTTCTGGAAGAGTTAATAGTCTAGTGCAACCCTGGACTCCGTCCAATGTGGTCAGTACTATAGCAAAAGTATGTGCAAAATAGAAAAAGCAATGGGAAGAGGACTGACTCCTATCTTTGAGGTTAATCTAAGAAGACTAGGACCCCTACTACCCCCCAAAGAATGCAAACTGACTTACTTAATACATTTTTTACATCTTCTAGGGGTTTTGATGTGGGAAATTTATTCCCTGGGGAAGATGCCATATGAGAGATTTACTAACAGTGAGACAGCTGAACATATTACCCAAGGCCTACGTCTCTACAGGCCTCATCTGGCTTCAGAGAGGGTATATACCATCATGTACAGCTGCTGGCATGAGGTAAGTGTTTTATTGTGACATCTTAAATTATTTCCCTGAACCTACTTGCCCATTTAACCAGCCAGTCCCCATTCTCCATGGCCGCATGCCAACTGGGCACAGACTCATAGCAGCACACATTCTCTGACCCTGGTCTGCACTCCAATCCTCTGATGACCAGAGACTTTCCCCGGCCCACCCCAATTCTCACTAGAGTATCATGAGTAGACCACAACGCCAACTCAGCTTTAGGGAGAGGCAGTGTTGTGGGGCCATGTCACCTAGCATAGGCAGGTAGCTAAAGGCACTCAGACAAGTAAATGTGCATTACGAAAGAAAAGTCATGAAAGTTTGTGTTCATTCCTTTGGGAGTCATCGGCCTTTTCTTCTACCTTACTGGCTGCCAGACATTTCTGGCTGAGGTTCCAAATGAGGTATTTTTAAAAACCCTAAGGCTTGAAAAGGAACTAACATAGGTTGGGGGATTTTTTGGTTTGCTTTGTTTTTGCTTTTTAATATTGTACATTATAGGGTATGTGAGTAGGTGTGGTATTTTGGAAATAAGGAAGCTGTCCCACTATTACCAAAATGCCTTGCTGCTCTCACCTTGGATTCTTCCCGAGGTGCCTTTCCCACTTTTCAGTAGATATTTGACAACCTAAAACTTTAGTGGGAAATAAATGCTCAGCTTTAACAGTGTCCAACAAGCACATGTGTGAATCTGGAGCCCTCTTGGTGAGGTGAAATGTGTGTATCTAGAGCAGAGGTTGGCTCCTTTCCCTTGAACAAATGACAGAGGTCACAAAATAAAGTGTAGAGAAACAGAAAACCCCTTGGAGTCATTTCCCTTCTCTCTCCTGTGTGATGCAGGATTAAGAGTGATTGGCTGTGCTCCCTCCCATGCTCACTATGCTAGGTAAAAACTATTTCAGACAGCTACTTTCTCTACAGCCTGTTTAAAGTAGTAGTCACACAACTGGATGCAGTCAGGCACAGTCGCTCACGCCTGAAATCTCAGCACTTTGGGAGGTGGAAGTGAAAGAATTGCCTGAGCCCGGGGGTTTGAGACAAGCCTGGCAATTTGGTGACACCTTTTCCATAGTAAATAAAAAAGTAGGCATGGTGGCACACCTGTGGTTCAAGCTACTTGGAAGGCTGAGGCAGAAAGATCGCTTGAACCCAGAAGGTTGAGGCTGCAGTAGTCGTGATTCTGTGACTGCACTCCAGCCTGAACAACAGAGTAAGACTCTGACTCAAAAAAAAAAGAGAGACATTTTGGAGACAATTGAAGAAACTGAATATAGAGCAGTGATACCCTGCCAGTTCAGAAAATTCTGATACTCAGCTAGGTCCGAGAACCACTGATTCAAAGGAGGAACAAATTGATGATCTTTTGATTCTGACAGATTGAGACTATTCTGGCATGAATGTTCCCTAAATTACTAAATACCTCAGGGGCCTAAGGACTATGACTGTCCAAAAAGAGCCTTCATCTGGAGGCCAGACAGTGGTAACAAAAGGTCTCAGGTACTTAGAATCCCTGCCCAGTCATGTGGCCTATGGTTTTGAAATGTTAATCCTTTTGTTAACTTTGGCTTTGGGATGATAGAAATAGTGCTTGAAACCAAACTAAACATTATCACAGCTTATGAGACTTCTGTTCTGCCAACCATTTTAACTTGTTTGGTAACGATTTTTCACTTGAGGCTCCAAAATAAGAATGCATTGTATACAATTACGTAATGAACTTGCCCTCAGTTTTAAACAATATGTGAGTTTAATTTGCAAATTGTTCTCATAACGCTAATACACTATTACTAAAGATGAAAGTACACAAGGACTTTATGGAGAGCTGGCATTTCTTTTCCTTTTTTTCTTTTGTAATCAACAGGGTTTGCTACTGGACATATAGTATGTACTCAATAAACATGTGCTGCTTACTCAATGCATTTCCTTTGAATTCTGCATTCTAGCTACTATAACACTCTACTTTTTCTTTGGTTTTAGAAAGCAGATGAGCGTCCCACTTTCAAAATTCTGCTGAGCAATATTCTAGATGTCATGGATGAAGAATCCTGAGCTCGCTAATAAGCTTCCTGGTTCTACTTCTGTTCTCCACAAGCCCCAATTTCATTTTCTCTGAGGAAATCCCAAGCTTACAGGCCCTGAAGCCTTTGTGCCCTCACTGAATATACAGAGATTCCTCTCTATACCTAGGGATGACTCTCTTCTTTAATTCCCTGGGATTGTGCTTTCTGAGCAAAGGCCAAGGAATTATTGTGCCTGGTATTGCCCCTCAGAGAGGAAATTTCCCAAGATAATTAAGACAGACTGAATTTGGGATGGAAACATTTTTAAGGAGGGAAGGGTATAAATAGCCTCACAAGAGGTCCAGCAGCCCTTGGGTAGTCATTAGAGCTTTTGGGGGGGGGGGCAGAATTTGGCAAGAATGAAACGGTGTCATAAAAATGGGAGGGGTGTTTTGATAAAATAAATTACTAGAAATCGTGAAGGTCTCTGATATCTCGATTAATCATGCAGCTCCTTGAAATGCCCTATATCTCAGTATTCCAGAAACCTGCTGTGTGACATTGGTTTGGCATATATATCCCTACACTGAGAACTCAACAGCATCCTCTGCATTTAACCCCTCTTGTTCCTGTTAAGTTCTGCTTCCAAATCAGAGATGAATTCACAAGCCAAAGCAGTGCCTGTCACACAATAGGTAGGCATGCAGTGTTATTTGAATGACTCTGAAGGTTGGGGACAAACTCCACCACAGCCTCATTTCCCTTTGTCAGGAGAGGAAATCCCCATCAAAAATCAAGAGCCAGGGGCCCTGGATGGTCAACTAACAGATCCCATGGCCCGGGGCCGAGCACAACCCCAGTGGCTGGGAAAGCGCGGGCCACTTTGGAAGTGGACAAGGGGCGGTGCTGTTGGGCAGGCCCGGAACGGACCACGTGGTCTGCAGGAACTTCCTTTTTTCCTTTATTCTTGTCTTCTGGGAATAACGCCTCTGCGCGCCGGCAGCTGTGGGACCTCAAATCGCAAGCTGGGCGCCGCCGCGGGGTTGCGGGCTCCGGGGAGGGGGCCGTGGCCCGGCACAGCAGAGAGCTCGGGCGGGCGAGGGAGGCGGCGGGACAGCTTGGGGCGCCAGCCTTGCGCCGCCAGCCTTGCGCCGACGCAGTGAGCTCACGGGGCGGGCCCGAGGCGGCGGCGGGTTGTAGTTCCGGTTCCGTCGCGGAGACACGTGAAGGTCGGTGAGTTGGTGCAGAGTTCATCTCGGCACGTGTGGTCGCGCCGGGATGGATTCCTCCTCCTCCTCCTCTACGGCGGGTTTGGGGGCGGTGGACCCGCAGTTGCAGCATTTCATTGAGGTGGAGACGCAGAAGCAGCGCTTCCAGCAGCTGGTGCATCAGATGACTGAACTTTGTTGGGTGAGGATTCTGGGGCTGGGACCTGGACATTGTACCGACTTTCCCTCTGTCTTTACCCCGCGGGACTCGCGACGCCGTCGGGAATTTCGGGGTGGGGGTGGACCTGGCAGAACCCCTTGGTCTTCTCAGGTTCCTCTGGCCGAGCCGGAAGGGAGATGGGTGACTCCATTTCTGAGGGGACTGTCACTCCGGACCTCGGCTTTGTCGGTGCAGAGGACTGAGGATCGAAGACTGTCGCTGTCCCACTCAACACTTTCAGGCAACTGAGGTTGAATCTACCCAGTGCTGATCGCCAAGACTTACCAGAGCCCCCCGTACTGGAATCTTGTTTTGGGGAGCTGGATTCCCAGAGAGTCCGTGAATTTGCTGTTCCTAGACTTCTCGGGTTTGACCTTGTTACCTAGTTGTTCTAACCCTCCCCGGTGAGAAATGAGTGAATCTAACCCACTGACTATTAAAGTGGCATAATCTCTTCCAACATACACACTTATTTGCCTTTTTGTTGGCTTGTTGTGTAACACCAAGCCGTTTCAGATCTGAAGGTTGAAGAATTGAGTCTGCCCTACCCGGGGACTTTGGCAAAAGAGTGGAAGGCATTTGCAGCTTGAGATCAAAGTGTTCTGGTTGCCAAGGACAGCATGCTGCCCTCCCTTGACATACACAATTCACAGAATTCAGAGGCCAAAGATAATTCTCCTTGAAATTAGAGGGTCTGAGGCTTGTGTACACAGCAGATAATAATGAACAAAATTTTCAGGCCACTTAACTTGAACTATAAACAGTCATCAGTTTTCATAGTCCCCTTTCCATAAATTTATGGTATTGCTGGACCATGACATTTACCAAATGCTTAGTTAACTCTAGTCTGCCCTGGACCAGAGTGCTTTGTTTCTTTAAAACATTTAAAAAAATAAATAAATAAAAACTGTTACTTTTGGGCTGGGAAGAGGCATCCTTTAATAATTTGTAAAGCATGAGCTCTTTTGGTAGGTTTTAGGGTGTCTTGCTATAATGATTTATCCTTCCACTCTTTTATTCTGCAGTTAATTTAAAGACATTCCGTGCAAACAGCAGTGTGGAGTTACAACCAAACTCAGCAAAAGGTTACTTCACTTGTATTTTGCCATTTTTCTTGCTCTGTATTATCTCTGCTCTACTGTTTTCTGACTTTGGGCTAAAGGTTTCTGTGCCACAGTTTCCCTCTTTGTAAAATGAGGATTTGTAATAGTATCTATTCCATAGATTTGTTGTATTTAGTATAAGGATGGAGAAAATTGTTCCACACTTGGTAAGCTGCCAAATGTGAACTATTATTAACATATCAGATACAATGTTTACACGAAGTTCTTCCTCTGAGCAACACGAAGTGACTTCCACCCCCACCCCTCTTTTTTTTACCCCAAGTTCCCTTTGTGATTCTGTATCTTGTTCTGAGCAGGAGAAGTGCATGGACAAGCCTGGGCCAAAGTTGGACAGTCGGGCTGAGGCCTGTTTTGTGAACTGCGTTGAGCGCTTCATTGATACAAGCCAATTCATCTTGAATCGACTGGAACAGACCCAGAAATCCAAGCCAGTCTTCTCAGAAAGCCTTTCTGACTAACTTCAGCATTACCCCTTTGGAAAAGGAAGGTAGTTCAAGAAATGAAGAGCTATTGATGGGATGATTGAAGAAACAGCTATGGGGGATTGTCTTCCATCTTTTGTCACTCTTGGGACATCCTGTCATCTGAGAATGAACAAAGACCAATTTTTGTGCCTGTGGGGCTTGAGGGTCATATGTGTATTTGGTTGTTTTTTAATGCTAATCTTGTGGAAATAATTGACAGATGAATGGAAAACTCTATTAGATTCATATTACTGTATGTGGGACTATGCTTTTCTCAAAGTCCCATTAACTGCTTCCTATAATTTTAATAGTGGAACTGCTTTCTGTAATTTGATAGTGGGACCACATAGGTAAAATAATCTCATTTATGTGGATTCATTTCAGATTTCTGTGGAAATCTTTGTGTCTGTCAGAAGGGGCAGCAGTGGGGGAAGAATAATTTGGCCATCTCTAGTGCTTGACCATCAATGCTGGAAAGAAAGATCTGTAGAATGTTCATCGGTACACTTCAGCTTTCTAGATTTTATCTCTCCCTTATACTATGATTTATTTAAATATCTCTACAAAGTATGGTCTCAAGGTAGTATAGGCATCCTAAGAATCAGAAGGCCTTTAGTTATAAAGGAATCTAGCCAGTGAACAATATTCTCATCACTAGACTGCCACAAGGAAGAAGTTAATTTACCCTGTTTATCAGGGCACAAAAATTCAAAGGTGTGCCTAAATAAGTTTTAAAAATTGAAGCCAATCAAAAACTAACAGCAGTTTCAGGTAGAGGTGCATGCCTAATATTAATCAGTGTAGATTCAATTTACTGCATTCTCTTGATCACTGAAATAAAAGCTTCTACAAGATTCAACTCTGAGAAGGCTTTCTATTCTGGCTATCATCTGCAACCCAGAGAGATTTAGCATGGGTTGTTTCCAAGGCTGAAATGTAGTCAGTCTGGGTACCTGCTTTGTACAAGGTACAGCACAGTATTCCAGGGGTCCCTGACCTTTTTGTGACAAAGAGAATCTTGAGATGAAATGGGAGGGAAGGAATTCTGTGCTGACAGTTGAGTCCCTGAGAACAGTAGAAGTTGTATTCACTGGATTCCTCTCTTATTTCAAATCCTAGTAGACCGCAGTACAGACATAAAGTGGACCTACTTGTTGGGAGCCTGTAGTGCACATCCATGAAAGTTGGGGAAACACACATTTCTAGAAGCCTCAAGTTCCTGTTTAGCTTTTCCTCATATAGGCACGACAAGAAAGTTTTTTTGTTTTGTTTTAGTTGGAGGGGGAGTCTTATCCTATTGCCTAGGCTAGATTGCGGTGGCACAATCACGGCTCACCACAGCCTCAACCTCTCAGACTCAGGCAGTCCTTCCACCTTAGCCTCCCAAGTAGCTAGGACTATAGGTGTGTGCCACCACACCCAGCTAATTTTTTGAGTTTTTGTATGTCTTGCATTGTTGCCTAGGCTGATCTCAAACTCCGGACCTCAAGCAGTCCTCCCACCTCGGCCTCCCAAAGTACTAGGATTACAGGCATAAGCTACTGCACCCAGCCCTACAGGAAAGTTGTTTTTTTTTTTAATCGTGATGAAAATACAGTTCAACAAACATTTAAGTGCTTATTTTGTGCCACTGTTCTTAGTGACCGGATTTGAGCAGTTCACAAAAAGTTCCTGCCCTGGAAGAGCATAGGTTCTAGCTAGGGGAGACAGGCAGTAAACATAAATATGTCAATTTGGTAAGTGTCTTGGAGAAAAAACGGAGTAAAGGGTGTTGGGGAAGGTTGTGGGGCATTGTTATTTTATATAAGATGGTTTAGAAGGTCTCTTTAAGGAAGGTGGCATTTCAGCAGAGACCTGAAAGAACGAAGTGACCAAGTCTTAAGGGTATCTGGAAGAAGAACATTTCAGGCCCCAAGGTAGGAGCTGCATGCCATGATGCCATGGACAGGAATAGTCAAGAGGTCAGTATGGTTGGAGTAAAGTGAGTTCAGGAGAATGGTAAGAAATAAGGCCAGAAAAATAGATGTATTGGGGCTGGAGTTGTGTGTTCACCTATCATGTAGGGCCTTGTGGGCCATGTTAAGGACTTTTGGCTTAAGCAAGATGTGGAACCATTTGAGGAATTTTAGCAAAGTGGTGATATAATAGAACTTGTTTAGAGAGTCTGGCTGGTTTTTGGAGAATATGCACATGGTGAAGTGGTAGTGGTAATAGTGGTCGTGGTAAGAATAATGGCATTTTGAAATCCAGGAGAAATCAGGTGTTTAGGGCAGGTATCTGGCATATACCTTGTATCTATATGCCCCTGTTGATTTTTTTTTCCTACAATGTTTGATGTTTTCATGTAAAACCTCAAGTCGCATAAAGGGTTCTTTATTCTTTTTCTTCTTATTCTTCATTCTTATAATATTTATTATTTTATTACTATATCATTCCTAATCTTCATTTAGTGTTAAAATGTTCTCATTACATGTATACACAAGCTTAAATGTCTTTGCTTCACAGTATTATTGTTTGCTCAGCTAACATGCATAATGAGAAAGCAGATCTGTCAGATCCATACAATCAATATGTTTGAGCACCAAGTATGTGTTCAACACTACTCGGCAAAAGACAATGGAAGAAACATGGTATACATTTGTCCTTGTCCTCAAGGAGGTTAGTAAGTACCATAGCAACAACTTTGACTTCTGTTTGTTTTGTCAGTCATAGAAATGCCTTTTCTTTTTTTTCCCCTCCCAATCTGGGAGAAAGAAATGCATTTTTAGAACCTTGGTAGAAAGATGATACTGTCAGCCCTGATGACATTCAAAGGCCTAATTTCAAATATTCAAGGTAGAAAATGCAAGACTCAATTGTAAAACGAAAGTATTGAACTAGCAGGTCCTTTTCCTGGAATGAAATCTTACTTAGAAGCCTAATCTATAAAACAGAAAAGCCAAGCTGCTTTGGTGGGAGGGGAATATCTAGAAGTCTGCCTGCTGTTTTTTCCTTTCCCACGCATGTCCTCAGTGGTGCCTAAAGCACTGTCTTCAAATCTCCAGGGTTTTACCAAGCATACTGTGAAAATTGGAACCATTCTGTCCCTGAGGTTCCTACCCATGAATCCAAGAACTAACATTGAGGATAACAGATACAAGGAAATCAAACAAAAACTTGTTATTTCCTTATGATAACAAACATCTTCACAAGGAGTTTCAATTCTGAAGTGTAATAAACCCCATGTGAAATAGCCTTTACATGAAATAATGGAAAGCAATTGACGGTTTTTAAAAAACGATTTTTCCTAAGCAATACCATAATAAAAAGTCTTAGCCTTGTGACATTTTATTCCAAAGACTATTCAATAGCACTTCTCTTAAAAATCTTCATATTCTCATTCAGCCTTATTTTTGTTGGCACCTTCTGGACTCAGGAGGTTGATGGAGAAAGGTCTGGTATCCTACATCTTTATTCTATGCTATAAGATTTATTGATCTCAAGTCAAAGGGCAACAAGTATGGACCAAAAGGGATACCTCAAAAGGCATGGAGGAAAAAAAGGCCCAAAAGTAAGCAAACCACAAATGGTACCATTACAATTGAAGCCATATGCTGCTATTCCTTGAAAAGAATGGCAAGCAAGTCATGGCACTAGTAGGGAAAAGGACGTTCTACGTGGGAATGACTACAGAGGCACTGAAAATATCCAAGGCTTGTTCACATAGTTAATTTAAATGCTTACACAAATCACAAGATAAATCAAGAGTATCTGGATTTGCCCAGGGCTGGGTTTGTGATTGGCTTCCCTAAAACAGCTGCTTCAAGGCAATGCCCAAACCTTTGACACTTGACACACAAAGTGAGCCAACAGAGAAGAACATACATCAGGAGGCTGTTTACTCTGGCCATGGATCCTACCATGAAGACAAGCAAGGTGGAACTAACCACTACACACAAGGCCAAAAAAGATGAATATTGTGATAAAAGAATTGAATTACTCTTTTTAGTACTTACATAAGAAATGCTAAAGCAATTTGAGAAACCATTACATTCTTTAACACTTTAGCAAGTGAGCAACATTTGAGCAATTAGTCATTTAATGTATGAACTACTAAAAATGGCTGTATGTCTACAGCTATGTCTTACAAAAATCATTCTCAAAAAGGCAAAACCTATGCAATATAGTTATGGCAGTTTCTGGTACACAGAATTACATAGAAGGGACAATTAATTTATGGCAAATCAGGATTCAGATGTACTGATCAGGAAATCCCAAGGCCAACAGAATTTTTTGAGAGGTAACTGCAATATAATGACAATAATAGCTGTGCTTTGTGGATGGTTTATACGCTGTTATGCAGAACCACACATTGTGCTATGTATTTTATGTGGGTCATCTTTTTATAATTACAGCAACTATGAGAGAAACAATTACCATATCCATTTTATAGATGGAAAAACTGAGGCTCAGAGAAATGAACTTATTTAAGGTTACACAGCTAATAAGTTATAGAAAGAGAATTTGAACCAAGGCAGTTTGACTCTAGACCTCAAGGTCTAAACTACTAAACTGGGCTGGGTGAAGTGGCTCAAGCTTGTAATCCTAGCACTTTGGGAGGCCAGGGCAAGAGGATTACCTAAGCCCAGGGGTTCAAGACCAACTTAGGCAACTTGGTGAGACTTTATCTCTACAATAAATCAAAAAATTAGCTGGCCGTGGTAGTATGCACCTGTGGTTCCAGCTACTTGGAAGGCCAGGCGGAAGGATCTCCTGAGCCCAGCAGGTGGAGG